AAAAAAACCGGCTCTTTGTCTCTCGTCATATTAACAAAGTCGGCATGAAGGGCGAGAGGAGCATACTAAATATATATTTATATATATATATATGTGAGATTCTCAAACAAAGAGTAGAAAACAACAAAGAATAGAAGCGAAAGTCAAGTCTACTCTTGTTACATATATTGTCTCACACGTTCATTTCCGTTGTCATTAATCAAATATGATTCTTTAGACTTTCCACCTTTTCTCTTCTAATATATAGTTTATGTTTGATAAAAGATATTCATTTACAGACCGGAAAATGAGCATATGTTTCATTGTCATATGATATGCTTGTATGATTTTCCTTTTTGTTGTAAAATACAAGAAAAAAGTAATTTAACTGCCTAACAGAACAAGTCATATAATTCATATCAGATGAAATTAATGATCACCCTTTTTTTTTTCTTCTTCTTATCTGTTCGTAGAAAAAAAATACGAATAACTAGTAGGGAAAAAGAGAAGAAGAATGTCTTAGAAAATGAGAAGTGGTTCCTTTCTTATCACGGAAACAAAATAGGCACGTCGTTTTTTTATTGAGTAGGCTACAGAAGACACCTATATTTTTAGATCATGAAATTTATTATTAATAGAATGAAAGAAGAATTGCATGAGATAGTAGTTAAAGTTAGATAATATAAGACGAGCAAAACTCTTATAAAAAAGAACATATGTCAACATCAATCTTAACCTTTTTATATCCTCAAGTTAAACTAAAATTTCTCTGATAAATATTCGATTCAATTTTCAAAATATGATTATTAATTTACTAAATGATCCTTGCGTGACGAGGTCAGTATTTTTTTAATAAAATGAATTTACTTATTCTCATAAAAATACGCCTGCACGACAGTCTGTGTCGGGAAACAAAAATGTTTTCTATGTCACCTTGTTTTATACGCAATACAAGTACATCAAGACATTTTTTTTCTCTCATCTATTTATAGCAAAACAATTTACAAAATCTCTTTTTTATTTAAAATTGTACATCGTTATGGTAGTAGATACTTAAGACTTCTTTGTCTAAGATAATCTTAATACCATCTTATAAATTGATCAGCTTTTCAAACAAGCACATCATTAATTACTCATGAATACTAACTCTATACTAAAATAAATGTATCTGGTTAATATAGATTTATTTATTAAGAATTAAAATTAAAAGAAAATTAAAGTCACACTTGAGGGTTCTCCTTGAAAAGATATTCAGCCTAAAACAAAACAAAAAAATGAAATGAAGAATTTTTTTAAGAATACAATACTCACCACAAAATCAATAGGATCATCAGGTCGTACTTGACAACATTCTAGAAAAAAATAGAATTTAATAAAAAAAACAATTTAAAGTTTAATCTTTACCAATCAATGCTTTTGTTAATGTTGGCATAACATGTGCCATAAGATAATTTCTTAATGGTGTTGATTGTGCATCAAGCATTTGAAATTCTTCACGTTTAATCTGTTCTAATTTCGTTGTCCAATCTTTTTGTTTCTTTGCTCGATCATTAGCTGCTTCTTCTTCATTTCGTTCACGTTCTTCGCGATCTTCACGTTCACGTTTTTCTTTTTCAGCTATTTCATTACGTTTCGCTATTTCTTGTTCTTCAGCTGTGGGACCATAATTACGTGGTTCTTTAACACGATCCATGATTTTTTTAACGATATTTCGATGATTTACACTTACATCATCATCAATTTCTATTAACGAAAATTATATATATGATTATCTTTCGAAGAGATTTAAAACGAACAATATAGATCGTAAGAATAATTCCGATTTAAATTATCCAAGATCACGCTTAAAAATAATACTAAGCGGGATAGAATCTTTTTGGTTTCAATTAATTTTTTATAGGAATTTCCTGTAATAGGATTAGGTATTTGTTTATCCTTACTCATTGTTTCGCCTGGTCGATCAACTTCTTCGAAGAATTTTGCTGGATGTGAATCATCACCAAGATCATTATAAGTTTTCAATCGACGTTTAAATTCTAATTCAGTATTATGTGTACCAGCAACGACTTTTTCAGGTAAGTGCATAATACGTTGACGAAGAAAATCATTACTTGCTTCGAGTATAACAACATGCTCTAAAAAATAAATATTTAATTATTAAAAAAAAATAGCATAATTATTATTAAACAAACCTGGAATAATTTGTTCGTTTACTGGTGGTTTTTTATCTTCTGCACCTTCTTCTTCTAGAAAATAAAGAAAAAATGAATTTTATTGAAAATTTTTCTATATTTTACCTTCTTCACCAGCAGCTCCAAATAGATTTTGTGCTTGATCAGATGTTTTTGGATAACCATCAAGTACATAACCTTGATTTTGACATGGTGGTGACATAAGTTTGATTTTGAAAATTTGTGTTAAAAGATCATCATCCAAACGAGCTTAAAAAAACAAGAAAGATAAAATAAAATATCAATTCTATATCAATATAAATACCATCTTTATTATCACGTCGTGCTTCTTCAAGTCTTTCTAAAACACTTCGTGCTTCATCAACACGATCTGCTAATGTTTCATCCGTATCTTCTTCATCGATTTCTTCTTCATTTTGTTCACTTTCATCACTGCGCTTGACTAATTGTTCCTAGAAAAGAAGAAATATTCGTTTAATTCTAAATATTCTTTTTCTCTTATTTACTAGTTCATTTTTTGTTTCTTCAATAACATCTTTTATTGAAAGATAATGTAATTTATATTCCTGTGCTAATTGTTTTGCAATTGTTGTCTTTCCAGCTGCTGGTGGACCAAGAACACATATTTTAATTGGCTAAAAATGAATTCAAATTTAATTAACTTCTTATTTTTAACTACAAAATTTACTCTTAAGTTTCGTTGTGTACGATATTCTTCGACAATTTTTTCAATGTTTTCTGGTATACCATTTTCACAATGCCATTTGATATTCATTTGTTCACGAATAAACATTGGTTCGAACTGCATATTTGAAAGTAACATATCATAATCAGCTTGCTAAAAGAAAAGAATCAGAAAAGTTTAAAATATATTCTTTTCGTTTACCGTAATATCACGATTGAGCATTGCATCTTCTTCATCAACAGTTTTTACTCTGCCCATACCAAGTGCTTGACTAACTTTGCGTGTAATACGTATTAATGTATCTTTACTTGTATCAGTAGCAACAATATAACGAATTTTGAATTGTTGATCGGCAAGATTTTGTAAAACACTAAATATAGAAGAGGCAAAAATAAACATAATTTATATATTTAGATTGTTTTATTCGTACGCAGCAAGATCGATAATATGAATCGTTGGTAAAGAATTTTGACCTTTACCAAATACTGGAACTTCAGGTACATTATGCCATGCTGCTTTAAATATATAATGAAAAACATTTTCTTCCATGCCGTATGTTAAACCAGTAGCAACAACATATGTTAATAATTTCTTTTTATTGGTTAAACCAAGTTTTGTAATTAATTTTTCAGCACTATGACGTTCTTTAAAATTTGGATGAGCTCGACGACGACGAAATTCATCTTCAGAATATGGTACTTCATCCTATTTAAGAAATAAATTATTTTAAAAACAAAAGAAATTAATTTACTTCATTTGCTGGTGTTTTTGCCCATGTCATAACCGATGAAAGAAGAATAAATGTTATTTGATGATCAAGTTCATTTATAAGTGATTCTAATTTTTGACAAGCCCATACTGCTTCATCGACCTAAACAAGAATACAATCTGTCGTAAACAATTTTGAGGAATAGAATTTTTATATCGTACTTGTTCTGGGTCTTGAGTTATATCATAAATGATAACATTCATTTCTTTTAAATATTCAGTTAATTGATTACGATCTTTATACTAAATAGGAAAGCGAAAATAGAAAGATTATTGCAAATAAAATTTCTTTCTATACTTGAATAATTTCTTGCATAAATGGTGCTCGTTTGTAACCTTGAGTATTTTTTATTGTTCCTGATACTTTCCAACCATTTTCAATGGGATTTTCATCATATAGCTGTTTTTGCCTTGGATCACCATTTTCTTCTTCAGCAGCTTCTTCTTCTTCTCCTCCAGTATCACCTGTTGAACCTGGTTTTACTCGTGCAAAAATCTTTAAAATATAATACTTATTCTATTTTTCAAAAAGATAAATTCAAAATACGCACTCGAGCAATATTTTTTCCGTGATACGTATCAACATGATTAATAAAAATCTTCTTTGGTTTTTCAGGTACAGGTTCTTCTTTTACTTGCTCTTCGCCTACTTGTTCCTCATCTGAATCGTCAGCCATTGTTGGATGTGAATGCAAAATGAAAATGTTTTACACAAAAAACAACCATTTCATACTTTGGTATCCACGACACATCCTTCGCTAATGTCAAGCAATTTTATCAACCCATAGATGTCGTTAACATGATTTTTATTTCATTTAAAAAAAGTAAACCCGCTATTCTTACATATAAGAGACATTACGTAACAGTTTGAATTCTTACACAGCAAATTCAGGCGCATTGACAGTTAAAGCGTTGTCAAGAATTCGAATATATGAATTAGTGGCGTAACTGAGGTAGGCGCCGCCTACGCACCGGACTTGTTCGCCCGCAATTTTTGAAAAAGTGACTTTCCTATATATATTATATACTATTTGGGAGATCAGTAGGGCTGCGCCTAGCCACCTGTCAATTTCTCTTTCGCCACTAATATTGATAGAAGAAAGTAATTCAAAATTCTTGTATTATAAGAACTTTTCAGTTTGTTTTCTTATTCGCTATGGTTTCTTAAATAACAAAACAGCTGACTATATTTACATAAACAAAAAGTTTAATTATATGATAATCTTGCCATTGATTGAGCTAATTTAAGAAGTATACCATTAATATTTACATACCATATCGAGTTTTTCTCAAATATATGCTTTATTTTTAATAAAAGTATGAAGTACAGTCAGAATCGATACTTTATACTAACGAAGGTAATTTCAATAATGAGATTCTTGTGTTTGTCGTTGGAAAAAAAGTAAAATTATCTGATGAAAATTTCACATTATTTTCTTTATATAAAGAAATTATTGAAAAAAAAATAGACGAATATTTTCTTTTGCTTAAACAAAAATATATTAAAAATTAAATATATATATGTACATACATAAATAAATAAATTTTTCAGAAAAAGAAAATAACTAATTGCTTTTCTTTTTTTACTTTTCACAAAAGAGATGTTTAAAAAAGAACATTTTTAATAATTTATTTTAGAAAAAAAATAAAAGAATTATTGCAACGTTCGTGCATATTCACTTAAGGCTTGATAAAGAAATTGATATTGATCATGAGTTTGAATCATTCCACCACGATCACGTCGTAGATTGCAAATTATTCGAACAATATCAACAACACGTTCTTGATTTAATTGTTTTATACCATTACTTAATGCAATAAAACAACCAGTACGACCAATTCCAGCACTGCAATCATAAATAAATATCTTATAAGAATGCAGGCTATTTCAAGTAGAGTCTGTTAAATCTTATTGAATGCTTAGATTTATTGAGAAACCTTGCCAGTCATTCAAAACTAGTATAAAATACTTATTCAGAGTTTTATCTAGCGGATAGGCGCCACCCATCCCAAATTTCGATTCACCCACTCAAAACAAAAGAAACCTGGGTAAAAACATTGGAGGTATTTGACATTTCTTAACGGGATTTCATGAAATATACACGTAGTTTACTAATGACTAGTTTTTATAAGTCTGAAAAAGATGTTTAACTAGTCTTTAACAGACAATAAATTATCAGCTGTCCTGAACACATCCTTATATTAATGAGAAAAGTAGCGTAACTTCTTTTAATTCGTACTCATTGATCTGTGATGATTATTCTCGTATTTGTTCGATCATATAATTCGAATATAGCTTCTTTTATGTTTATAATCAAGTAAATATGATAATAAATCTCTGTACCTGCAATGAACTACAACAGGACCAGATTTATTATTAATTTTAGATAATTCAATTCGACTATTTTCAACTTTATCAACAAGTTCAATTAATGGTTTTGCAATATCTGGACTTGATTGATCTGGCCATGCTAAATAATCAAATTTTTATAGATTAAACTTTTTCAACTTGTAGATTATTTACCTGTATACCAATAATGATCAATTTCACGTTGTTCATTTTCGAACTAAAATAATCTTAGTTAAAAAAACTAAACAATTAATAAATCAATTGACTTACTGTAATAATTAATCTTCGTATTTCGTAATCATTTCGATAAATTGTTGATTTTATCTCAACATGAAATGGTCCATATTGATTCGAATGTGAATCTGGAATATATCGTTCACATTTTGACTAATAGAAAAAAAACAAATTTTCTTATTTTCAAATTCAATTATAAATTTTACTTTATTTTTTTCAAATAAACGTGTAATCATAACAATAACAGATACATGTTCTTGCCAAATCATTCGATAAAAATCAATAACTGTATTCGACAATGGACCTTGCGTTGCAATAAATGCATGATATTCATTTGGCCAACCATTGACATAATTTGCATTGATATATGATGATATAGAATCACCGGCTATTTCAGGTAATTTCACTCGAGAATGTTCATCTAAAAATTAGAAATAAATTTCTTTTTTATTTGAATAATAAATTATAAACGTAAGTTTTACTTGCAATGATTGTACCATAGCGATTTTTTGTACCAGCACCATAAATACGAAGTTTTTCAAGATGATTTGTTGGTACTGACTATAAATATAATAGGACATTATTCTGTATGAAAATCAAATCCGACTCTCGATTAAAATTCAATCTAAGTATTGTAATTTAGCAGTAATTAGATAGTTATGATTTCATCATTAAGTAAGATATTCATTCTATGTGCATTTTTGTTTCGTCTTCAAAACAAAAGACGATATTATTTTTGATATGTGATACAGCTTACAAAATATCGATATATTTACACTCAATAATATATGTAATCTTATATGTGGGTCATTGTCAATATCACATGTATCTATATTTATTATACGCACCCAAAATTCTTGATAGAGTGAACGAGTATCTTGTGCATGTTGATGAAGTTCATTAATTGTTAATTTTCTTGTTGCTGTTTGTAAATATTCATCAGTCGAACTAAACATAAGAATATTATTATATTAATAATATTGATTGTATTCTTACCAATCAGCTGGTGGACTATTCAAAACAAGATGTACTGGAGTTACAGATATTGTTAATGCATTATTAGGCCCTCTCCTAAAACAAAACGAATTTTATAATATACATATGAATTGTTAAAATAATACCATATAGGATAAAGATGTTACTAACAAAGTCTCTTAGCTACGAACAATAATAAACTCACTGACCTTCGTTTAAATAAGTGTGATGTCGGTGTACTCCACAATTTATAATGAATATTTGGATGTTCGACTTCCATCTGATACTGATATATTTATGTATATATCAATACTATTTAAATCTTTCAAAGGTGATCAAATTTGTGATATATTACTTTCGTATACATATTTAAAAATATTAAATTACTCAGATACTTTATATACGAAAAACGCATGATATCTCTATAAAAATATCTAAGAACGCCTACTTTTATAACGTAAAAAAAGAAGAATTCTCTATTTTTGTACTTATAAAGATAGCAAACACTTCAGAATCAAATAGAAAAAAAGGAAAAAAACCGCCTACAATTAATGTTTCAATTAAACTAGTTTTGATATATATACATATATCTATATGCAACTGGTGGTAATTGCTCATTGGAGCATAGTATCATTTAACAGACCATAAAAAATATCTGTTCTATATAAATTATCTTTCCCTTCATACCTTATCAGTAAGAACCGCCTACGCAACTTTTGTTTTTTTATCTAAAAGAGTTTCTTAACATATATATCTATTTTTATTTACTCAATTAATCGACATGATAAATAAATTACCTTTGTAAAAGATTTTTATTTCGAGATGTTTTCGCTGTATGATGTTCTGATGACGATGTTGATGATAATGAGTAGGTATCATTAGTAATATCTGATGCATGAAGGTCAGCAAATTTATGAGCAATAGGAAATAATGTTATTTCTTTTGGCTTAATTATTTTATTATTTGTTGATGAAAATGGAGTTAATTCAGATGGTTCAGGTTGATTTTTTAATAATCGATGTTGTTGTTGCTGTTGTTTTGAACACCAATATACCTGAACAAAAAAATTTGTTCGTTTTCTTTTTTTCGGAAATAAAACAAATTATTTACCACTCCTACAAGAGTTAAAACTGCAAATAGTACAATTGTACCAATCGATAAGAGTAATATATTTTCCGTCCATATTAAAGTCGAATCCGTATGGCGTTTAAAATATAACTAAAAAAATATATATATTCAATCTTATTATATCAATATGAATATCCTTAATAATAAACTCATTAGATACAATCTCTATTTTATTAATGATGTCAACACTTTTCTATATTGTGTGGTAAAATGAGCATAAACGCATCCGTTTAATATTTCTATATGTTCTTCAATCGTTATTATTCTGAATATTAATTTCCGTCATAGTCATTAGTAAAATGAAGAAGATGGTAGGTGTAGGTGTTGATCATAAAATTATCGAAATTAGTAAGCTGTCAAATGTGCGTTACAATTAAGAAGAAATGTAATTGTTAATTAATATGAAATAACAAAATAATATTACTTGTCGTTGTTGTTGTTGCTGATCGTCCCAATTCAGTATTCTTTTTGTTGGACTCATCATGATCAATGGTTTTTGATTTATCTTTTACTCATTTTCATGATCAAATATATATATATATATGACTAAAGAAGAAGATATATGATACTCTCTTAGAAGAAATGATTTCGTACGATTAATTTAAATTTCACACGTACCTATTATAAATGCATTTTGGTCAGATAGATTTTTGTTTTTTTAGAAATCTGAAGAAAAACTAAACACAAATAAGTAAAAGAAAAAAATAAGTTTGTTTTTTTGTTTTGTTAAACACGACTAGACTGTAATTAGGAAAGGAATATGACAAACAAAATGCAACTATTTTAGAATGAAATAAAAAAATTTACAACTGGAATGATCACGGATAAAAAAAAGAGAACTTTTGTAATCAAGATGATTCTTCTAGTTGTGTGGAAGATGAAGTTGTCGTTGGAAGAGAAGTTGACTGAACGACTGAAGGTTCAATTGTAGTAGACTAAAATATTAAAATAAGATCTTTTTGTCATTTTATAAGAAGATTAAGATATTGAATAGAAATCTGATTAAAGATTTCAATAAATGATAAATAATCTTTTTTTTTATTATTGTAACAAATAGATAGGACAATACTATCAATGTTTATATCTATTGAAAAAAGAAAACTATACAAAAAAAGTCATCGTATTCTAAAGAATTAATGAAATATATAAATAGAAAAAAATAAAAGAATCCATTTGTTCTGAAAAGAATCTTGTAACATATTTTAGTAGATTTTAAGAGCTCTTTAAAAAAAAGTCTATTAAAATCTCCAGACTTAATCTAACCATAAAAAGAGAAAAAAAATTAGATTTTACTAATAATAAACAATCGACCCTTTTACGTTATTTATAAATAAAATGATGCGAGAAGATATCGAACTAGTTTTATATGCTGACAACATACTCATTAGTTCTTTTTTTTTGTGTCACATTTATTTCATATGGTAGAGTAATTAAAGGACAATGATATTGACAAAGGGCAACGAGAAATATAACATTGGCGCAGTTGCGTGCGTTTATAGATTCCAGAAGATTAAATTCGACGAGGACAAATCATGAATAGAGGAATCTAGTTAGCTATCGATTATTTTCACATGAGGAAACTTCAAACTTATGGAATAGAAAAGAAAATTCATCTTCAACGGGAAGTATGTCATCATAAGTTCATAAGACATGTCACATGTTCCTCAAATATTCAATTATCGTATGTCTTTTTACAAATAAAATTTGATTCGCTAAAACTTTAAGGAGATATTCTAATATGTAAGATTTTGTACTCATTTTATGATAAAACATAATCATGATTATTAAAAAAATAATCTTATGTTCCAAAAGCATGTCATAAACAAGATAGTATTTATAGCCAAATAATAAAATTTTATTATCTAAGAAAAAGATAATCCTAAATTATTGGTATTTACTTAAAGAACTCATAGCTCGCTAAAGAAAAAAAACAAAATGAACTGTTATAGGTAAAAATTTCATTCAAATTATCACCTCGCTTGTGAATGACTAATATTCAGTCAATATGAAACCATAACAACTAAATGTTTTCAAAAGAAATCCTATTCAAAATTTATCATCATATTATCAATGAAAAATAATTTTTAACAATATATACCTGTGGTATAATTGTAGATAATTGTTCATATTGATGCATATTTTCATGTACAGCAAGTATTTCTTTTAAACCTCGATTTTCCACTAATAATGCATTTATACGTTCTTCTTGTGTTGCACTATTAATTTCATCAATATCAATTGCGCGTTGCATAATTGATGCCATTTCTTGAATTTTTGATGCTTTCTCTTGAACTTCCTGAAATTAAATTATAATAAACAATAAAAAATATTTTTTAATGTTTCTATTCAACTAGTAAAAATAACTCATGCTCAATTTTATTATATCGATTATTAACAAGATCTAAACATAGAATTAATGACTTGGTACATTTAATTTTTCATGTACTATATATTCTTCCTAATAACTTCAAATTTTGCTATAGGCTAATCTTAAGAAGTCACGATATCTGATATTTTCTGTTAAACAACAAAGACTATTTACCTGTGCTAATCCTGCATTAAATAATTGAACAGCCATTTTTTCTTTTTCTTCCATTAATCTAAGTTGTTGTACATGTTGTCGATATTTATACATAATTTTTTCTAATACACTTCGATGTTCAGTAACTAATTGTTTCAATTCTTCATTCTCTTTTTGTAATTGTCTAAATTTGAAATCCATTGAATTTATTTATTTAAAATATAATTTACTTGATAAGACGATTTTCTTTTTGAATACTATAAAGAATAGCTGTTTTTGGACGATGTGAACTAATATCATTCAATTCAGCAAGATCATCACCGTACTTAAACAAAAATGAAATTTTATTTTTTTATAGAAATTCGAATATTTAATTAATTCAAACCTGTTTCATGCTTAAAATTCTTTCTTGAACATATTGTGCTTGACTTACAGTTGTATCAGCTGTTGCATCATCACGACGTAAACGTGAAACAAGCTCTCGTGCATTTGTTAAAATTGTATCGAGTGATAAATTCATTATATACGTATGAAAAATAATGAAAAAAAACGAAAGATAATTAATACATGAAAAAGCTGGCGTCTTTTTTTATTATTAACACAGGAAAAGCAATTTGTTTGTTTTGAAGAAGAAAAAAAATTTGATCAAGTAACCAATCGGACGTTTTTTGTGGTTAACTTGTTATCCAATTATATAGTTGTTGATGTTTTTTACAAACTTTCCCACTTCATATTATTCAATATTATTGATACTGAATGATATTAGTATCGTATGATTTCAATTATTCAGATGTCGCTAATACCACATGTTATTTTACTATTTATTTGTATAGTTCAATTTCGACTCGAAATCTACCTATAAAAGAAATCATGATATTTCTGTACAATAAACTTACTTCAATTAAGTATTCACTCTTTGTATAAAGAATTAAAAATTCTCAAAAAGCATTCGTGCTTATAGTGCTTCCTTCCTGATATCTGACAAACATACAGCCATAAAAAGCTTTGTAAACAATTTTATAGAACATACAAAAATTTTTAATGATTATTTACGCTCTAAAAAAAGTCGATGCTCTACTGAACCCTTGAAAAAAGGTTTTGCCGTTACAAAAAAAGTCTCTAAACATGTTCAAAGTCTGAAAAGTACAATAAAAAATTCTACGAAACACTAATAATTTGGTACTAGATCCTAAGGTACTTGTGCAGTTTAATATAAAACCCTAGAAGTTTCGTATTTGCTCACGAAACCTTTTTCCGGTGTGCTGAACATAAAAAAGGTTTCGTAGGAGAAGGTTCTTCCCGTATGTCAACGGGAAGATCCTTTAATGGTTTCGTAAAATTTTTTATTGTGTTTTTCAAAATTTGAACATGTTTGGAGACTTTTTCTTAACGGCGACACCTTTTCCAGAGGTTCGTTAGAACACCAATTTGTTTTAGAGTGTAAAATAGATCAAATAAGTATATATATATACACCATCCAGGTACAGAGAAATTTGAGATGAGAAACCTTTTGATACTTCATGCAAGATGATATTTATATATAACAAGTAGAGTATTAAATTAGTTTACGTGTATGAAATACAATCAGTGAATATGAAAATAATTTTTTTTTTATTTGTTTTTCATTCATATTTAGTCCAAATGAATAAAGATTTTTATTCAACAAATAAACTTAATATAAACATTATAATTAAAATAAATTTATCACTCTTTTTTTTCTTAATGAAAGACAAAAATATAAATATATTTAAAAAAAAATAGTAAATGCATATTATTTGTTTTCAGTTGCATCTGATATAGTCGTTGTTGGAGAATTAGTTTCATTTTCAATGATTAAATTTTCTTCTGATTTGGACTTTTCACGTACAGGATTATTTTCATAGAAGAAAGGACGATGTGTCTAAAAGAAAAGATTTTATATTTTTTTTTATGAATTTGTTTTGTTTTACTCGATCACTATTTGGTGAAAGAATTTGAATATTAACTTTTTCTAATAGAGATGGTTGTTCGAGCAGACTTGCTGGTTGTTCATGCCATTCTCGTAAACTTTTTGGTCCTCGAACTATTTGTGCACTACCTATATTTAAGAAAAAAATAACTATATTTTTTGAGTTATTTATTATATTTCAAACTTCTTCGTGGTTTTTCATGTTTATCTGATATGGACGTACGACGACTTGATGTTGGTGTTGATGAACCACTGCTTGTATGTGATACTTGATCTGAATGAATATGTGATACTGAATAACTTCGAATATGTTCAATATTGCCGAAAGCTGGAGATGAAACCGAAGTTGATCTTGAAGTAATTGAACGATTTGTAGTTGAATTGTTTTGTTTAGTTACTTGTCGTTTTGGACCAGATATTAATGCTGCTCGACCTTGGATAAAGAATAGATTTTAAACAATATTTTATTTTAATAACATACCAGGATGATTTGGCAATGCTGGTGTTGTAAATCCTACAATAAAAAAAATAAAATATTTAGCACGTAATAGGTCATAGACATGATCATTTATTATTACATTCAACATGAAAATAATATCTTTTCATAAGCGTAAGCTTATTCTGTAAGGTGATAGTCACCATATATCGCCTGTCGATATTAATAGTTGTTATTCTATTAAAATATCATCTAGCTCGTCACACTTATAGTAATAATGTATAATGATAGTGGATGTGAGACGTGTGTGTGCGTGAGTAAATGTGTACATACATATACATACGTATGATACAGATTAATCAATCGATGAAGAATAGTGTGAGATGTAGCGACAACAATTGTCTGTCCTACGCATTTGTGACAAATCAGTTGGTAATACAATAATCAATATCAATGCAATTTTTTATAGGTATTCTATTAAATTTATTTATTTTGAGATGTTATTCTTTGAATTCTTCTTGTGTACCATGTACATCAATATTATTTCGATCATGTTATAATTGTTTAAATATATTTCCAATCAATCGTTCTGATGTAGAAAAAGTGAATATTATTTGTAATACAACAGATAATGTATTCGATTCACAAGAACGATTTTATTCAATTATTAAATCGTATATAACAAAAAATTGTACCATGAAAACATTTTACTTCGATCAATATACATTATGGAATTATCTTGAATCTATGTCAATAACACACGCTCATCTTACACGTTTATCGCCTGTCATATTTAATCGATCATTATCTGTTTCACCTATTCTATATAGTATTAAACATTTGAATTTTTCACATAATTCATTACATATTATCAATCGAAATTTTTCATATTATTTTCCATCATTACAAAAACTTGATTTAAGTTATAATCAACTCGTACATATAAGAAGAAAAACATTTATTAATTTAATACATTTAAAAGAACTTTATTTAAATAATAATTATTTAAAACATATTTTATTTATTAATTTTCCACGTCAATCATTACGTTTAATTAATTTAAGTTATAATTATTGGCATTGTTCATGTCAAAATGTTTTAATACTTTCATTGAGTCGACCAATACCAATATGTCAAACACCAATACAATATAAAAATCAAAATGCTGGTGATATAGCTCGACAATGTTTTCTTCGTAAAAAAGCAAATATTTTAATAACAATAAATCGTTCAAAACAACAAAACCTAACATGTGCATTATCATCAACAATTGATATATGGAAAAATAAAACAAACGAAAACATTACATTAATATCTGCATGGCATATTGAACAAAATCGTTCAATTTCAATTGAATATTTATATGCATTAAGTGACAAATCAGAAAAATATTTAATCTGTTTCAATTTAACTTCAATTCAATCCGAATCAATCTACACAATAATTCCTTTAATATCAAAAATATCATCATTATTAAATAGAACAAATAGAATTAAAATGAAATCGTCAACAAATCAAACATTAGTTCTAATAAAACCATCAACAAAACTTCCATCGGTTTTATTATGGATATTCAATACGAGTAAAAAACTTCTTCCAACATATTTTCGAACATCTGATAAACAAGTTTTAATTATATGGTTAATACTTCTTACAATAGCATTTTTAATATTTTCAATTCTTATCTATTTTATTTATTATCGACGGCATAAAAGAATAAATTATGAATTACATTCATTTTCAAATCGATTTATTCATTTTCATACGAAATCAACAGATCCTCGAACAATATTTAATATGAAAATCAATTGTAAAAATCATAAATGTTTATGTCAATATCGTCGACGTGATAATGATTCATTAATTTATTCAACTAATAGCAATAGACAACCATTATTAATACAACCAACTCAATTACGTTATGCAAAAATTAAACGTATATCATCAACTCAAGAATCGGATAATGAATATTTAACGGGACATTTTCGAACTACAGTTAAATTAAAATCTTTACCTAATTGATGTTGAGAATATGTTGATAGTGATGAAAGTTTTGATTGATTTATTGTATTTAATGATGTGATGTCTATATCGAGTATTGAAGCAATTTTTGTTAATTTTATTTGACGAGCTCTTCAAAAAAATAAAATAATTAGTTTATTATTGAAATAAAAATAAATCAATAGAAAATACCTTTGACGACCTTTTATTAAATTTTGTTTAGCTGTCATACAACGAATATGATCATCAAATGTAAATTTTGCATTAAGAATAGGTGGACTCGTTTTTACATATATATTTGTAACAGGTTTATGAATTGTTATATGTAATGAACGACTATCTTCTTTATCATTTGTTACTTCAACATCCTAAAATTAAACGTAGAAAATTTCTTATAATGTAACTTAAGGAGTTGAATATATTATATTATAACACTGTCGAATATTAGTAGCCGACTGAATGAATTTGAGATAAGAGTAAAATATATTCAGTATGGGTTTAGTATTTAAAGAGTGTTAGAAATATGTATCTAACAATATGATTTAAGTTTAGATCCAATGAATGATTTAACTAATAATGAATTGATCCTAATGTCGAAAATCAATTTAGGCTTGACAACAAGAAAATATTTTCAAGATCATATAACTTTGATACTGCATAGTAAATCTTAACTATAAATCTCGATTTGCATAATTACAAAATATTCGTTTTTTTATTATTTATTTTCAAAAATTCATAAAAAAAAATATATCATGAAAATACTATAGGTTGATATGACCATGATTTCTTTCTTTGGTCACAAATCATAATTATAGCCTTGACTATGAGTCACGGTCATCGCTCGTATATGTTTATACTTATTGTAATGATTAGTTGTAGTAATTTTGACTTAGAGAAAATTAATAAACTATTGACATACAATTACAATAAGAGATTATTTGAATTATGAAAGATTCAAATGTACTTAACACTAAATAATATAAATGAACATTTTATGTACTCATAAACTATTAATGACCATGAATCGATAATTACCATAACGAGAAAGAAAAAGAGAAATCTTACTGATAGGATTTCATAATATATCAATCAAGATAAAACTACTATTAATATGAATTTTGAATACTAACCTGCATTAGATCACAAAATTTGACAATACCCCAATTAGATTTTTTAATATCAGGTTCAATAAGAATAAATTGCATTTGATCAATTACAAGAAAACGACGATCTTTTCTGAATGAATCAAATAATAGAATAAAATTTTTTGAATATAAAATTTTCTACCTTTCTTTCATATGAATAGTACAAGCAATTAAATCTCCATTACCTTAAAACCAAACATAAAATACAACAAAAAAATTTATTTAACTTACTTAAATCAAGTTTATCATCTTCTTTAAACAAATTTTCTGGTTTTGTTAATGGTAATTCAATTTCTGATATTAAACTTAATTCAAGAAATAATGCACGAATAAGAAAAAATACTCGAATTGACTGAAACAAAAGAAATCGTTAATTCCAAAAAATTTCCTTTAAAAAAAAACCTACTCGTCTAGCTCGTTCAATATCACCCGATGGTAAACGTTTTATGAATTCAACACCACTCAATGGTGTTGTTGTTGGTTGAAATAGCATGCATGAATCTTTAAGTAAATATTCAATACGTATTGGATTTAATTGCGTTTGTCGATATTCATCTTCAAACATATCAAGTAAAAGTTCTTGTTGCTAAAAAAATGATCTTATCATAGAAAATATTTCAAATAAATTTTTACTGGATAATATCCTTTTAAATCATCTGTTGCTTGTTTACGTGCTTGTTCAATTTGAGAGAAATGATAATCAGATAGATAAGAAATATGAGTTTCTTCATTATAAACAAGTTTTTTTAATAACATTATTGTTAAACTTAATGTTACAATACGAATATTTGAATCTTGAAATAAACAAAATTATTTTTTTGGAAATAGAAAAGAAATTTTTTCGTATACTAACCTTGTTTTGTAGCTGATAGGAGAATATCACAAAGTTTATCGACTAATAATGTATTATAAAAACTTTTTTCCTAAAAATTTTCAATCATAAAATTCGAACAAAACTTCAAATAAAATAAACAAACTGATGATTTGACTGTTAAACAGACGGATTCCAGAATAATACTATCGATCGCTGAAGAATAAGAAAAAAATTAATTATTCTGAATAAAATAACAGAATAAACTTACATGGATTTGTTGTCATAGTTAATAATACACTCAATGCATAGAAACATAATTGATCATTTTCATTGCATTCAAGTGCGTTTATTAATGTTTCAAAATAAGGTCTAAATGAAGTATGTATGAATTAAATGACGAGAAATTCTTCGAAATTTTTACCTCTCGGCTAATTGACTATTATTCAAACGCATTGGATCTTTACTACGTCTATATTTTTCATCATCAGTCCAATTTGATATATATAAAGATGCTGGTTTTATACTGGATTCAATAGTTTTATTATTAATCGATGTTGATGAAGCAGTTTGTATTCGTGAACGTTCATCTTCATATTGACGTCGTTCCTGTTCATCATTAATATCTACCACTTTTAATGAAATTTCTATTTAATTAAGAAGTTTTATAAAAAAAAACAAACAACAAACAACAAATGAATACCTGATTCATTCGTATCATCTTCATTCGGTTCATTTTTAGCTAAACAGACTTCAAGAGACGTTGGAGGTAAACTATAAGAAATCTACAAACATAACAACAAAATTTGAAATATATACATAGAATTCGTTTTTAAAATCTTATCTACCTGTTCACCGTAACGATGTTGAATAGCTTCAACAGTTTCAATATCAGCTGAAATAATGAGATCAGCTAATTCTTCAACCACAGGTCGGTATTGAATAACAAGAAAAATCTGAATAATTAATAAAATAAGAAATAAGAGTTTTCTAACTTACTTCAGCAAGTAGAAAAAGAGTTGATAATTGATCAAGCATGATTCGCGGATCCTTGAAAGAAAGACATCATTGATTTTTCTATGAAATTTTCAATGAATTTACTTTAACTCGAGAGAATTTATCACGTTTAATCAATGAAAATATATAAACCGGTATAAGTAATCGATTCATTAATTGATCTTTAAGAACATTATTAAGACTATCGACATTAAGTAAAAATATATCTTGAATATAATGTATATGATCCAAATATTCTTCTAAACAACATGTTAATTGACCACGATTATTAATTCTAGAAAAATCATGATAAAAATAAGAAATAACTAAATAATCACCACTTACTCTCGATTATTTCGAACTATATTATCGAAATCTAAAACCTGATTTCGAATAAACCAAACAAAATTAGAAAAATATTCTGTTGCTGTACAATCTATTATAAAACGATGCATTGCTGGATCAGGTACTATAAAGAAAAATAATTGATTTTACATTCGTAATACAAAACATGTATTCTTTTTATACCTCTATAAATATTAAGTGTTAAAGTTTTTACAGCAATACGAATCATTGATTCTGGATGATTAAAAAATTTAATTGCTTCAACATATAATGGAAATTCATTAGTTCTCTATGAAGACATAAAAAAATAGAAAATAATTTTTTTTCGAAAAAAAAATAATATACTTCAGTATAAAAGAAATGTATTGAATGTTTATTTAATTTTAATGAAAGTGTTTTGAGAAATGATATGTAATATGCAGTTATTTCTTCATCACTAAAATCAAATTTATGTGAAATTATATTATTAACATGATTATTGGATAGAAGATAATCTATAGTAGAAAAAAAAAGGAAATTATTATTTTTATTTCGAAAGAAAATTTTCTCACATAATGATGTTTCATCACGAATGTTTTCGAAAAGTATATTAAGTGTTTGTAAGATTTGTACACATATAAAACGTCCATTTTTTTGACGCATATAATTAAGAAAATAAATTAACATTCCATGTTCAAGAAAATAACTAGAAAAAATATAAATACAATCATCATATATATCGATTTTGTAATTTGAGGATTATGTTTTAAGCGAAATATATGGGATAAACTATACATTCAGTCATTTAAACTGTTAATCATACATGAAGCTCTGTGAAAGATGATCGATTTTGAATAATAGGAACGTATGCTGTAAAGTATTAGCTTTGGATCATCATGATCAAATCTGTATTTGCCCCATTTGATTTATTTAACTAAAAATTTCGCCCAAATCTTATCTGTTTACTATCGGAAATGTGATCTCATTTTTGTGTTTTATGCTCATGTAATGCATAAAGTATTTTAAATGATATTAATTACACAAAATTACGAATATTATAGTTTCTCTTAAATAAGAATTCATTGAAAAACCTACTCAAATACAGAACTATCATGTTGATCGCCCCATATAAGAATTTCTGAAATACTGCGAAGTGTTTCAGTTAATAAATCGCGATTGGCATCGGATACAGTTGTGTTTCGTTGTAGAACACCATATAAATATCTGAATAAAGAGAAGAGTTACTTTGATATAACTTTTTTTATGATTATAATCTTACTTAAGATTCTCAAGTGAATGAACATTTCTTGGTTGAGTTGCTCCAAACAATGTATTTCTAGCTCTTGTAAATAATTCCATTGAAAAGAAACACGATTAACGTAAAAATCTACAAGTGTCTGCACAACAAAATCTTTGAATGCTCTTTTTTATTTTTTTTATCAAATTTATTCTTCTCTTAATATAAAACAAAACAAAAACAATGAACATTAGATTTTTTTCGATCCGTCGATGGATTTATTTTGTGTTTTTATTGAAAGAAACATGACAAAAAATACTGTTTCTCAAAACAACGGATTTTCTTTTATTTTATTTTTTTTTCTGTTGTTTGTATAATGATGTTACAAATAAAATATTTATTCTCTATTCATCATCTTTTGTCGTTTGAGTTTCTTTTTCGATTCTTTCTTTTTAGCTGCTGGTTCATCTTCAATAGCACCACCAGTACGTGTTAAAAGATTTTCTTTTTCACTTAAAATTAATTCAATATGACATGGTGATGCTTGATAAGGATTAATACGACCATGTGCACGATATGTACGACGACGAATTTTTGGTGCACGATTTACTTGAATATGATCAATAACAAGATGATCAACATCAAGACCTTTAACATCAGCATTTGATTCAGCATTTTTCAATAATCCTAAAAGAATTTCAGCAGATTTCTTTGGCCAACGACCTTGAGACACTTTGAAGTGTTTAGCTTGAGCTTTACGACTAACACCGCCATTGTATCGTTTAAATGGAACGATTTCCTTTTTATTGATAACATTTTTTAAATAACGTGTTGCACGTCGTAAAGTCATACGTCTAAGGGTGTTAGCTGTTTCACGTGTATTTTTAAAATGAACACGTAAGTAGGCACCACGAGTTTTGCATGATTTTGCTGGATTTTCGACAGTACCTATAAATCAAAAGACAAAATTTTAAGAGAAGAAAAAGAAAAAATTCGAAACTTACGTGAATATCGAACCATGATGTTATTTTCTTGTTCGGTGAAATATGATTGAGAATATAGAGAACAAGATCTAGAAATCAAAGCAAAAATTTATGAAATTATTTTTCAAATACTACAACTATCCATAAGTATAATAAAAATGTTTGTTTTTAAGTAAGTATTATATTCGACTAGTAAACAAGATGAAATGTTGACAACCAATAATAAAGTTGACGCATTGTACCATCGCATAATTCAATATGATAAAACAATATATTTTAGAAAAAAAAGTCTAATTAAGAAGTTGAAAAAGTGGGAGAAAATGTTTATTTTATATTTTAACAATATTTTTATATCGGAAATATAGATGACACTGCTATACATCTATTTAATATTGCTATCGTCTTAATAGATATAAGGATTAAACGCTGTTATAACGATTGAAATTATTATGTGTGATGGGTGGGTAATTATAATCTATGAATAATTTACAATATGTAGAGTTTGACAAATTTTTAGGTTTAGTCACATTTGAGAAGGGAAAACTACTATTATGTAGAACCTTTAATAATGTATTAGTAAGATGCACAAAGAATTTTATCTTAGGTATCATGCTTTTTTGAGAAATTAGAAATACACGCAGTATAGTAAGAATTATCCGGTATACTTATAATCGCCAATAGTTGCATCTAGAACTTTGATGTGCATTTGTTTTAAATTTATATCCCAAAGTCTTTTTCTATAATTATGAGTTACGTTAGATGCTTAGAATTGTATAATGAATAATTTGTAGAACATTTCAAAGTATGACTCGAATTTGATCTACATTCTAAATACTTTCAAGACGATAATATAGACTTAAAGTTAATGAAGTTTTGTTTGTAGCAATAACTAACACATTGTCATCTCAATTAAGCGATACTTTAACCTAGAGTTTTCTTGTAAAATTGAATATACCCGAAACATTAAGTATTATTTTATATTTTGTTGAAATTATCGATATACAATTAGAGACAAATATGACGGTGAATTTAATCCTTTTCGTTTCATTCTACCGATAAAGTAAAAGAATTCTATGATCTATAATAAATTTTTCTCAGATAATAATTTCTCTTTCAAGTTTATATTGTTGTTTTTATTTTGTTTTATTTATGTATGAATAATTAATTTCATTTTTAAATAATAAACTGAAAAAGACTCATAATATCAATATAAAAATCTGTTTTTCTGTATATTTTTGTTTCGAATAATATAAATTTTTGTATTGGACGAACTCAATTATCCAATCATTGTCGATGAGAAGCGCTACATTCGTCGTCAAAATTGAACTATTGAGCATCGATTCTTATCATTGAATGATTTGTCCATGGTTATTATTTTCTAAATAAATGAAAATAAAGAATATTTATTTAATAATATTAATTTTGTTTTTTCTATTTTTTTTCGATGAATCTTCAAGAACTATCTGAACATCATTGAACGCACAGTGCATAAAACGAACGATTTATGTAGAGGACCAAGAGTCGGACAAATGTTTCTCTTCCAAGGTTAATAACATTCAACGAAACGACGGCAGCAGCAGCCGGCTGTCTGTTTGTTCAAGGCGATTGCGAAAGAAAAAAAAAAGAGAAGACCTCCCTTACACATATACATACAGGGTCGATTATGATGAACGTAAATGGATCTATTTCATTTTTTTTTTCTTTTACTGTTATATACATTAATAGGATGAAAAGAAAGGGGATGTTCAGTTCGGAAGCGACCTTGGTTTAGAAGGTCATTGAAGGTCGTGACAAGGTTGCTGATAGTACAATACAGCAATCAACGTGGATGTGTGCATGCGATAGCGATGCGGCAAAAATCAATTAAACCTTGTGTTGTCGTTCAACCTATTTCTATTCTCTTTTTTTTCTAGATGTTTGCCCTTAAAACACTTGCCAATTTATGTACTACTCAATCAAGTAAATATATTTATATCTCAATCGAAAATTCATTTAGTTTATTTTTTGTAGTTGTTCAGCAATCATTACGTGGAGCAAAAGTATTTAAACCAAATTTACGTTTAGCAAAACATCGTACAATAAAAGTACAAGATGGTCAATGGGTTGAAAAAGATACAGTTCTTACTTTACAGAACAATTTAGTTTTATATCCTGGTGAAAATGTAAATATATTATCTTTTTTGAAAATTGACTATTATATTCTCTATATTTATTAGGCATCCGTTGCATATGATTATACAATTCGATCAATGGTACCTGGTTTCGTTGTAATCACAACTGAATCAGTAAAACCACATCCACATAGTCCACTATATCGTTATGTTAATAGTGGAAATGATGTTAAACGAAATTTTATTCACGTTTTACCACCACGACGTGAAGGATCATTTCGTCTAGTTGATCAATTGTAGTAATCGATTCAGAATGATTTTTATTCGAGAAGGGTAGGATAAAATAAAAAAAATAGAACAATCATCGTTGTTGATCAATGTTGTTTCGTTTTTCTTTTTGTTGATCCATATATATATATATAGCTTAATGTAAACGTCTTTGATATTCTATGTGTTAATGTTGTTTTGTAGATTGTGGTATTATATACATAAGAAAAAATTCTTTTTTAGCCTTGATGAATTACATGTGAATAATTATGTATCAATTCATCTATCTGAACAGTATCCATCGTTAATAATATATAAGAAATTTATCATGACTGTTGTTGTTCAAACACGTGATCGTTGTCGTCTATGTTTTTCATTACTTTTACGTGATCGTTCGATATGTTGTCAAAAATCCTATCATTTATTTAAACATATTGAACGTGAAAAAATTCCAATAAATAAATTAAATCCATATCAAATTAAAATACGAAATCAAACTGTTTGTTTTCGAGATTTAATTCTACGTTATTTACATACACAAATTGATCAAACAAGAAAATTTTCAAATTTAATATGTTATGATTGTTCGATGGTATTATTAGATATTGAACAATGTGCAAAATATTTAAGAAAAACAATAAATCAATTAAAGATTAAATTAAATAAATCAAATCGTCTTCGAACATCATCATTATCAGCAACATTTCAAAAGAAAAGATCACAACAACAACAACAAAATACAACAGTGAAAGATGAACCAATACCAATTATTCATTCAGATTCAGATGAAGAATTTGATGATATTGACGATGAAGAGGTTCGTATACAATAGAAAGAAAAGATTGTATAGACACTATGTAATTCTTTTTTTAGGAATTTGATGACGAACAAGATGATACAAGTAAACCAAATGTATCAACAAATATAAAATCATCAAATCAACTAAAATCTCTTCAATTTACATCACCATCTTCTGGCGGTGATTCTTCATCAAGTTTATTAACATCAAAAGTTCATTTAACTAATACTACTAATCGTCCGTGCAATGATAATGATCATGAAGATGAAGATGAGGAAGATGAAGATGGATTAATAAGGAGCTCACCTGAAAAATCTCAACAACAAAATTTAACTGAATTTTTTCATCGTTTACAAACAAATTCTATGAATGCTTTATCCGGTTCAAATGGTTTAATAACAACAGGTAATACAATGAATTTACTTCAAGAAACAGATCCAAATCTTCTTCAATTACGTCTTGCTCATATGATGCAATCTGCGGCTAATTCAACGAATATGGGTCAAAATCTAAATCATTCTAATAATAATAATATGGATCCAATGATGAATACAATTGCTAATATGCAAAGAAATTTTCTTTTGCAATGCTTCAATGATCCAATAGCAGCTGCACAAGTAGCACAAGCTGCAGCTGCTGCTGTTTCAGCTACACAAATCAAATCTAATATAACACCAATGTCATTAATAACACCGAATGCTAAACAAATTGGAGGTGGTAGAAAAAGAAAATCAACACCTGGAAAACGTGTTATAACAAATCATCGATCATCAAATAATAATAATGATGATGTATATATTCCTTATTTTCTTCTTCTTCATATTTTATCGATTATATTTCTATTTAGATATCTCCAACAATTGAACATGAATCCACAGATCCTAATAATATGAATGATTCAATTGACCATCCACTTGAATTAACCCTGAAATGTTTGCAACAATCAAATCGAGTTTTACCATCATCAACTAAATCAACAGCAGATGTTCATAATCTTGTGGTACGTTCTTTAAGTCATTATTTACATTTCAGTAGTCTATCTTGTACTTATATCTGACTTTTTGATAAACCAAATTCAAATGTAAATCTATTCTAATTTATTTAGATCAATGCTAAAATGGAAAATGGTAGTCCATCTTATCAGCAGAATTATTTAAATCAATATCAATCTGCTGATGAAGGTTTGTTAAGAACTTATATAATAATTCTTTTTTTATTTGTTAATAAAAATGAATATTTAGATCGTAGAGAGAGTGCGACACCGAATGATTCGTCGTTATCTCTTTCTCCCTCATTAAGTCGACGTACGGCACATTCAAAACGACAAAAAATGTCAACAATACCTGGTCAATATGATTATACAAATAATTTAAAAATTAACTTATCTCAAACACCAACATTAGATTTACTTTCACCCAATCATCAAACAACACTCAATGATGATATGAATACAACTAATCAACAAAAACAACAAAGTAAACTAGATCCACGATCATGTGCTGAATGTGGAAAAATCTTATTCAGTGATAAAGCACATTTAATTCATTGTCAAACACATGCAAAAAATGAAAAACAATGTTGGATATGTGGAATTCATGATGATGATATTAAAAAACATATTATCAATGTACATGGAAATCAAAAATTTACAAATACGGGTTTTAAAGTAATATTCAAATACAAATATTTATAGATGATTATATTGATTTGATTTTAGTGTCAACATTGTGAAAAAGTGTTTCCTGTTTATGCTGATTTAGAAGCACATACACGAGAACATAGCAAGAAAAAAGTAAAAATTTTTAGTCGATATTAACGAAAAAATATTTTATTATTTCTATTTTAGCCATTTGAATGTCCAATATGTAATAAACGTTTTGGTCAACAAGGAAATTTAAGTTGTCATTTACGAATACATAGTGGTGTTAAAGTATGTTATTTTTATATATTTTCTTTTGTAGCATCTTCGAATTCTTTATGAGAATTAGGATCAGTATTTATATCTACGTCTCGTTTTGAGTATCAATTGAATTAATCTAAGATAAAACTTTGATACTTATCATAAATTATTTATTTTATTTTATTTTTAGCCATTTACTTGTGCGAATTGTGGTAAAGCATTTCGTCATTCAAATAGTTTACGACGTCATGCACGTACAGTTCATTCAGCAACTCGTGGTTTATCGATGAGTCCAGGATCAGTTGCAACAGCAACACCCAATTCACTTCTTCTTACTACTGCTACGACTAGTAATTCAATGGTATCAATGACAAATGATGTTCATCGTTTAAGTACAAGTGAAACATTTGATGATGGTACTTCAGGGCTTATGATACCATCTGATGATGCTGAGTCATTACAAGGTCCACCTTCAACATCAACAGCTGGTGTACCATCACCTTCAATATCTAATGCACAAATCGATAGTGATTCTCATGAACAATTTGGGACAAGTTAATCGGTGTGAATATAATATATATAAATATATATGTTTTAATTCGTGTGCATTATAACAAGGTTAAATCTCTTGATTATCATCATTCATTTATTCGCAATACGAATTTTTTTTGTGTTTGGGCTTCATTTCTACAAGTACATTGAGAAGTTCACTCAAATGTACGTATTTTGTATAGTTTATTCTGATGTATTAGCGAACAGTATTTCTTATGTAGAATGGCCTCTTTTTTTTTCATTTTCTATCTTTTGTTTTTTTCTCTTCTTCTTCTTCTATATGTTCGTGCTGTGTGTTGTGAGAACAGTGAACCCCGTTTTCTCTTTTTTGGTTTTTCTTCTTCTTCTTCGTTGTTATTATTATTTTTGTTCTGATCTTTAGCAGTATTTTCCATCTGATTATTATTTTTCAGTCAATAACATCATTATCGTTAGCGTTTCTGTCTGTAATGCCGGTGAATATAAAAAAAAACATCAGAAGAAAAATACACTGAGCATATTTTGTATTCGAACAGTGATTATGTGTGTACAGTTCCGGTGTGTATTGTGAGTAAAAGAAAAGAAATACACATAATATTGAATAAATATCACCACCGGCTGTTTTCCCTATATTAGTTTTCTTTTTCTATCATTTTTTTTTGTTTATTCCCGGTCCTGTTTATTGTTTTCATCAGTTTCGTCTATTCTATCTAGTCTCGATATTTTTCTATTTGTTTCATTGTGTATACATATAACTACCTATATATTCTTCTCTTCTCTTCTCTTCTTTTTGGTTAAGGATTGTTCTATTTTGTCTATGCAACTTGTCATGTATGTGTCTTGGGATAATCATGTAATTTTTTGTGGCTAATTTTTTTGTTCTGTTTATTTGTAGTTGATACTTTTCTTTCGTTTTTTTTGGAAGACTAGAATGTTGCGTTTTTCTTGTTCTATTGCAACACTAGATTATTGGTGCTGCTGATTTTTCGTCTTTTCTTTTCCTATTGTTCTTCTCCCGTTATATATATATATATTTTTGTGCGCAAAATGCGTACAAATTTTCACTTTTTCTTTGTTTGTTTGTTCTTCCGATTATATTACGCCTTCTTTACAGTGTATCTCGTTTTCTTCCAGTTTTTCCTCTAGTTTTTCTTTTCATTTCTTCCTCTTTTTTTTTTGTTCGTTCATCTTACTTACTATAACTATTACTATTACTACTAATACAGCTTCTTGAGAATATTTATGTGAAAAACGAGATCGCGTGCTACTATTACTATTGCTGTTGGTTCGAATAAATTCTAAATTGGAATATATAGAAAAAAAAAGAACAACTAAAATTATTTGTGCTGAAATTCAATGATATTACAAATCTTAATCGAAAAAGAAAACTGTATTTTTAGATATAATATTAATGAAAGAGAACTGAAAAAAAAACATGAGAATTTTTATCAAGATGAATTTATTCTAAATATAAAGGTTTCAAAAAACAGATAGACGTATCTTTCATAAGATTTAATATTCATAAACAACTGTATAATGATGAAAATGACTTGAATTTCATATATCCCGATGTTAACTATGAACATATATAATTCAATTACTTGAGAATAAAATACATCTTAATACCATTCAGCTCTTTTTTATCTGTTTTAGATCATTCAAAAATGTATAAAAATTTTTACCTAAAATTCAACAAATACCACCGAAGAAGGATTGTAATAATCAATGATCCGAAAACCTGAATAAGTAGGTTTATCTTCTTTTTATAATATATCTTCTTCAGTATATGTGTTATAAGAACACAGATATTTTTATATTATAGGATTATTGAGTCATGATAAAGAACAGCCAGCTACATGATTGAGCACTAAACGATTATTTCGAGTTGATATCATATCTATCTTATTATATTATTTTATATATAAAATAAAAATAAAAAATTATATCATTTATCTATTCAGTTAGATACGAGATTTTTTTGTTCTCAAGAAAAAAATATGATTTTTGTAAAAGAAAAAAAATTTCTTCTATTGTAGAAAGTTTAATCTTCTATTTTAATCTGAAACAATGTCGGAGAATGATAATTTAAAACAAAGCAATGATGAACTTGAACCAGAACAAAAACGTAAAGTTTTTATTGGAAGTTTATCTTATAGAATAGATGAAGGTGCATTTCGTGAATACTGGACACAATATGGTACAGTTTTGTAAGTCGGAGCCATAATAATTTTTTGTTTGATGAAAATATTGATTCATTTAGAGATGCTACAATTTTACGTGATAGAGAAGGTCATTCACGTGGTTTTGGTTTTGTTACATTTGAGAATTCATCAAGTGTCGATGCACTTATGCAAGCAAGACCACATACACTTGATAATCGTATTGTCGAACCAAAACGAGCAGTAAAATCAGAGAGATATTTTTATGAAGTTTAATGTTTTTTTCGTGTTACTTAGGTACCACGTGAAGAATCACATAAGGCAGATATGCAATCAACAGTAAAAAAAATTTATTTAGGTGGTGTTAAAGAACCATTAACAGAAGATGATCTTAAAGATTATTTTTCAAAATATGGAACAATTACAGATACTGTTATTACAAAAGATCGCGAAGGTCAATATCGTGGGTAAGAAAAAGTTCAAATTTCTTGATCGATACAAATCTTCTCTGATAATATTTGTATTTTTTATCTTATTTTTTAGCTTTGCCTTCATTGAATTTAATGAGTAAGTCAATTTTCTTTGAAAATAAAACTAGTATTGATTTTTTTATTAACTAAACAGTTATGATTCGGTGGACAGAATCGTCTTAGAAAAAAATCATACTATATGTGGTCAACAATTGGATGTTCAAAAAGCTCAATCAAAAGATAGATCACAACGTTCAGGTGGTAATATGCGTGGTCGATCACGTCCACCATATATGTCTAAATCGAACTATGATGGTGGTTATAATAATTATCAACAAAACTCCTATAATGATTCATACGATCAAATGCCTAATAATAATTATGATGGATATAACTCTAATTTCAGTGGAGGCTATGATAATGGTAGTTCATTTGGTCAAGGGTGAGTCTTGATAGAACAATTATTCGAAATGATTTACATGAGTTTATTCTTAATTAGATATGATCAACGAAATGTTGGTGGACCTATGCGACGTGGACATATGGCTGGAGGTAGAGGTCATGGTTATGCACCTTATGATAGTCGTGGTCGAGGTGGTGCACGTGGTGTCAGTGACGATGGCGGTCAAGGTCCATCATGGGCATCATGGAATTAAAAAATGCAAATGAACTTCTTTGTATACAAATCTTCTATTATAAAAAAAACCAGCTAGCCTTTTTTTGTTTGTTTGTTCTTTCTTCTCGTACTTGTTATGATTAATTCTGTCTATAAATTTCAAACAAAACTATAAAAAAAAAGAGATTCTTGTAGATGGAAAAACGTCTTAAAGATGTTCAACAACGTTTACAATCATCACTAAATAATCTTGCATGTAAAACACTTTCAAATGAAATCGATCATTTATCATCCAGTCTTTCAAATCGTTCACCTATTTATCGAACCAATTTAACACGTGAACAATTATTATCATCGATAAAAAAAATTCAAGAATTAAATATAAATTTAACAAATAATGATCTATATCGTCGAGCATTAACAAATTACCTATTACTTCTATCAATTCATACACATAAACTTGTTTGTGAAATATTTCTTCATCAAATTTATCATTTAAAACATCATATTGATTATTGGAAACATGAAAAACAAAGTCATCTTGCAGTTGTTCAACAAATAAAAACAACATTTTGGTTTGATAAAGATCGTGATGATATACGTTCAATAGATAAAGTGAAATTTTTAATTATTCAACGAGATATTTTGTCTAATGAAATCGGTCGTTTAGCATATACAATAACGAATCTTGAACAACAAGAACAAATTAATCTTGATTTACTTATGAATAATACAAATGATCTATATAAAATTCTATTTAATGATACAACAATTGATTATAATTCTCATAGTGATTTATTCGATGTTATAGAATTATATTCTCAAATGTTAAATTCATTTGATGAACTAAAACTAAAATGGATTGAAAAAATTCATTTATACTATCGACCAACACATATTAAACGTTATTTTCCATATTATATTGGTATTACTGCAATTGGTTTTTATACTTTATATAGAATTTATACAAATAAACACGAAATTTACAATTATTTTTCTTCAACTTATGATTCATTGAAATTTTTTCTAAATGAACATTTAATAATACCATTAAAAACAATATATACATCAACATTTGGAGAACGTTCAATACATACAACATATGAAAATTCACAATTAAATTATACGAATTCAAAAAAAATTCTTGAAGAAATGCTTGAAGATTATGGACATCAACATGCAAGAACATTAGCACAAGTGAATAATCTTAGTGTAGAAGAATTTTTAGCATCATTAAATGAACATGCAACTAATGAAGATATGAATATTGTTATGAAAAATTATCAACAAGAAATGAATTCACCTATTCGAGCAGCTCTCTTTGGAGATTTAATCAAAGGTATTACAATAACATTTCTATCCTAGTTTTGATAAGAATCACATAGGGG